AATAAACGTGTTTTGGATAAATAACTTTTGAATAAATAACTTATTAATTCAAAACTCCAAAACACGTTTATTTTTAAGCACTGCATTTAACTTCGAACAAGATCCGGATCCGAACAAGATCCGGATATCCGGATTTTCACTTAAATCGAATATTTTATCTCGGATCTATCTCTATCTCGGATATCCGGATACCCGGATAAACGGATAATCGTCATCACTAATTAAATCCCAATCGCGCGCGTATTATAATGCAAAATCAAACGATTATATAAATCGCGTCGCGGTTTTAATAAAAGACTTTTAGGTTTATTTAAAAAAAAGTTAAAATACGGGTAGGTAGGAAAATGGATAAGACTATACATTAGAATACGCATAGGGTAGGAATTCGGGTAGGCAGAGACAGAGGGACATAACTCGATGAGAAGACAGATAAAATTGTAACTGCAATATGGTAAGAATGAATGTAGTATGTAAGTAAAGTGATGTATGTACACTAGTAATCACTGATGCCTTCTCACATAGATTTAAACATATGTGGAACACATATACATTTTCCATGGTTGCAAAATATATAAATGTGTTGATATGTGCACAAATTCATGTGGAAAGGCATTAGTGATTCCTATAGCACAAAGTAATTTAATATCTTTTATTTGCCAAAACTCGGGTGGGTTATTCTTTTTTATATTTCCTCGTATGTACGCGAGATTGAAAAGACCCCTATTAAATCCCAATCGCGCGCGTATTATAACCCCAAATCGAACTTTTTATAAATCGCGTCGCGGCTTTAATAAGAGACTTTTAGGTAGGTACGAATTTTGAAATTTTTACTCATTTTTTGTATAAAATCGGAGATTCCTTGGATCATTAATGCATATACTATAATTGTACGCAAGCATTTTTGATTTCACGAATTTAATACGACGAAAGGTTATAACTACAAAAATGTAATTCTTCTTTAGATAGGCCCGTTTTATACATTTGAACAACACCGATTGCGATTCTCTATTGTTCAATTAATATTATGGATTTTTTAAATTGTAACTAAGTTTCTTTGTTGTACTGAAGATGGTCCAATAAGGACCGAAACGTATATAGTTTTTATTAATTAAATTTCATTTTTGAACACTACTACCCTGTTCAGGCTCTGAGCCCCTTATCTTATTATATGATATTATCTTATCTTATATTATATTAACAATTCCAATTTTATGAGATTAATAACAAAATTGATCTTCAATAAATAAATTATAATATTAAATTATAATATGTTTTATAATTCGAGATTTTGCGGAAGTTCTTTTTATTAATACTATAAAATCACTTCTTTGGGTTACACTAAGGATCGAAATAATATGGTATATCGTCCTGCTGCTTCAGTAACGTAGCTAAAGCCCGCTCCATGTTTTCTGGCAAGTGATCCAGGAGCATGCGTGGCATCACTGTGAATTTCGTAAATTCCTCCGCTTGCGCCCATCGCATCTCGTATTTCCTCTCCTTTGCGAGTTGTTTTTTGCTAATGTAGAAATTAGATGTCATTACTATCTTAAAATCTTATAGTCTAAAACATTTCTTCTTTATATACTATTCACATTCTTTTAGAATATCGACTTATATTTATGAGAATTATTCTGTAACAGTTAATTAACTTGCTCTTAAGGCAATACTTTCCTTATAAATTTATATCATTTCTAGGAATAAGAAAATATATGAAAACAACGTACCTCTTTCCCTCTGTTTTTTCGAGCTTGCATCTTGTTATGTGAAGTATACGACCAGCATTAAATAATTTCATTCTCGAGTATCTCCTTTTTGTTATGTCGCGCTCTATTATTTTACTATTCTGCGGGAAATAACAACAAAGTTTAATACAATAATCGTATCAAATTCAATATTATCTACATAAAATGAATATTACAAATGTTCATGCGCGTGTAACTTTTCACAAATTTTGCAAATGTAGCAGTTTTCTTCTTACCACATCGCTAGGCTTGGTTAGCAAAGGCGATTGGCCCGGAATTGTATTAATTATGTTATAGTTAGCCCATGTTTTAGTCAGATCTCTCTCGGGAATTCCGAACAAAGCGTATCCGAATCCGTTCAGAACCACTCTGTACTGAAGAAAAAAATTTACCAGTTCAAAATATTATTAGTCCAATTTTATTATCGGCGTAATTTACATCATAAAATCGTGAAATTCAAGATACCTTAGGCAATCGACAGGCATGAAGAGTTGTCAATAACGACGTCCTCAAATTCTCTATACTATCCACACTGAGCCTCATTACGAGATCATCCCCCAATCCTACAGTCAATACGAATTCCTCCGTGACCCTAGCAGCATCTCTGCTGAGCAGACCAGCTTTTTGGACAAATACATTCGAAATTAGTCTAATATATGTAGGAGTCTAATATGTAAAATTAACAATTGGTAATTATTATCAATAAGTAGCAGTGTTTGCCAATATCTTTTTTAACTGAATAAAATGATGATATTATACAATGTGTTATGTAATACCCGCCTCACCTCTTAAAAGTCCTATACCATTTTGCAATTTTCGCAATAGTTAACGAGTTATTAATTATCCAAATCGCTGTCTTAGGGCCAGTTTCACAAACGTTGGTTAACTGTTAACCAGAGTTCAGTCAACGCCCTATCTTTTTCTATCTTGTTCTCTAAGAAGAGACAGAGGATCAGTTAACCTTCGGTTAGCAGTTAACCGACGTTTGTGAAACTGGCCCTAAGGGTCAGTTTCACAAACATCGGTTAACTGTTAACTAGGGTTCAGTCGACGTCCTATCTTTTTCCATCTTATTATTTAAACAGAGACAGAGAATCGATTAATCTTCGGTTAGCAGTTAACCGATGTTTGTGAAACTGGTCCTTAGCCCGGCCTATTGCCCAATTCAAGCTTGCGGCGAGAAGCGGCCGTTCCGCGATCGACGTTGCTAGGTGCACGACACACGGCAAGGGCTACGTATAATAAACAACTCCCCGTGTGCCTAGCAACGCCAATTGCGGGACGGCCGCATCTCGCCACGCGCTTGAATTGAGCGGTAGGTCGGGCTAAGATAGCGATTTTTAATAATTAATAACGCGTTAGCTATTGTGAAAATTGCAAAATGGTACAGGACTTTTCGACTCACAACAGTCTAGTCCGCTCTATCCGTAAATAAGAGGTGAGGCGGGTATTACATAACATTCTGTATATATGTCAAGTCAAAATTTGCTCAAGCAATTTACCAGGCGTAGCGAACGCGTAGACTCTCAACTCTGGATAACGAGGACGTATAAGTAAACCCAGTAGAATGGCTAAACCGGCTCCTAAGCTGTGACCTGCGTACACATGGTAGCTTATTAAGAAGTGTACAGTTATGCGCCGACGGCGGTTTGTTGGCAGTAGAACTCGAGTTCTTACCTGTAATCGTCAGATGATAATTAGGATACGTAGCGAACGCTCTTTCCAGAACTTTATGATTCTCCAATTGCTTTAGGATTACTTTTACCCCTATTGTCATGCCTTTATGAGCCTGAAAATTTTATATACAGATTTATATACAGTTAAATCGATTAATTTTATACTAAATATATATACGAAAAGAAAATAGAGCTAACCGTGCTGCCTGGTGGAACGCCAGGACACTCGAATGATTCAGACGCCGCCGCGAAATCGGTAATTATATCCCGCAAGGATAGCGATCCTCGTATAGCCACAACGATACTAGCAGTTTTGTGATCTGCTATTACGCAGAATGGTATCTGTAAAAGTTTAAAGAGATATTTAATTCTGAATCCATATACCGTCTTTTTCCAACCTGTCCTGCGCGCCGTTACATACCGGGCATATAACACAGGTTTTCGTTAGGTGGAATCATTATCGTCAGTGAATTCGTGTGTTATAAAATTGCTGAACGATTTGATTAATTATTTTAAATGCTATACATAGCATTCATTACAATAACCCTTTCTCCCCGTACTGAATTAAAATTCTTATTGCGAAAAATATTACCTCAACCAGGATTCGAACGTGGGACCTCTCTCAATTCGTAACGGGTTTGCCTCAGTTGTCGAGTTGGCTAAGACCCCCGTCACGGATTGAGGGAGGTTCCAGGTTCGAGTTCTGGCTGAGGTAATATTTTTCGCAATAAGAATTTTAATTCAGTACAGGGAAAAAGGGTTATTGTAATGAATGCTAAGTATAGCATTTAAAATAATTTATCAAATCGTTTAGCGATTTTATAACACGTGAATTCACTGACGATAATGATTCCACCTAACAAAATCCTATGTTATACGTCCGGTATGTAACGGCAGGACAGGTTGGAAAAAGACGGTATATGGTATGGATTCACTTAGTAATTTAAATAATTGGCCACCTCCACCTGTGCCAGGTCCTAAATGGCTTTTACGTTTCAAATTGATTTATATCTTAAAGGACCTAGTTAAAATTTAGTTGTTTAATTCTGAATATGGGTGGTAAGAGTATAATTTAAGAACAATATACATACTTCACATAAATGATTCTTAAAGGAAGCGAATAGGATATCCTCCTCAGACATCTTCGACAAATATTTCACACCAGAGAGATAACAGAGGCAACAGTTATCGTCCAGAATAATGTTACGCTTTCGCCTAAAAGTAGAGATAAAATAATAAAGCAAAAGAAAATAATAAAAAAACCTGTTTGTAATTATACAATAAAATAATGAAGATAAAGAGTAATATATTGAATACAAAGTTTTATGCTCTTTTACCGGAAACAAGCACAACATCTCATGCCACGTATCAAACGAAAACATCCGGTACACGTGTGCTGATATATAACGAAAAGCCAGCCGTAGGAAGCGATCGATAGCTGCAGAAAGTGATGGGCGGCTTCTAAGGACATCCAGTTAGGTGCGTCCGAAAATATCTCATTGCCGTCTATAAAATATGGTGAATATTTTGTATTAAACACGCACGTCTTTTCTACCATTTTTTTCCTCGGTGTGTAAATGACATACCTGAAGTATATTTTGGACGCGCAATTAAATTTAGGTTTCGCAATTCGTGAGTTTCTCGCTTCTGCCGGATTCTTAGCAAAATACATCCTGCCATTACATCAGAGGGAACCAAATCCGTGCCTCGAAATAAAGCGGACAAAAGACCTACAAAGATTTTATCAATATATTTTATCGTGTCACGAGTTACATTATTTAAAAAATATGTAAGCTTCTCTCTCTCTCTCTCTCTCTCTCTCTCTCTCTCTCTCTCTCTCTCTCCATAATATTACATTTAATATGTTATTATAGTAATCATAATAATATAAAGTGTTCAGAGTTCACTGAAATGGCATAAATTATGTGCATTTAGACAAACTAATGAAATGAAATAAAATATCACTTTTTATCATTTATATAATGTTAACAATGCCAATGAACTTCTCCGTGAATTAAAACTCGCGATTATTTGTGCTTCCACACCGTGGTGATCGCGCGGCGTATCGAGAAGCGCTCGTTATTTCTGAGCGGCGAGAGAGCGATGCACCCGTCGCGAAGAAAAAAACCCCAGCGCGGCGCCAAAACCGGAACAGAGATTAGTGATCTGATTTATCACCGGCCTTCAATGACCGTTTCCGCGCCCGGTTTCCGCGATCGGAAGCGACGTCCGCGTTCCAGTTTCGAATGCGGCAGGACCTGGAGGCCAGCCGTACCTATGTCTCACCAGCAACTTGTTGAAAGGTCTCGTTCGCGCTCTCGTCCTTGCGCATCCACCATAGGAACTTGAATCTCCGTAGCCAGATGCGCGAGATCTTGCCGTGCTCCACGGAGCTCTCCAGCTGCCTCTTCTCCAGGGAGCCGATCGGGTCGAACACCAGGGCGAGACCGAAGATACTAAGGCCGATCAGAATCCAGTCGAAAAACACTAGGGCCTCCACGACAGTGATGGAGTATGTCTCGTGATTGCAATCCACGCTCTGCCCGAAAATCCACAAGGTGCCCAGGATGTTCCATCCAATTTCCGGCAGTAGCATTAATATTCTGTACAAATCAAAGAGAGATCTTTAAACTTTTCCTCATTCACCTGCAATTCTTTTCAATTTAAGATTTAATTCTTCTAAATAAATCACATGGCCATTATGATAATATCGAAATATGGTAATAATGTAAATCAAATTGTTGTTTTCTTAATGGATACGACCCTGTAAATGTAGTAAATTGTGTCAGCAATACGAACGTAGACAATTTAGATAATTTCACGAAAGTGTACGAGTGTGTTTGATACGTGTAGCACTTACTGTTCGCGCATATGCATTTCTTTCTTTTTATTGTCTCTTGACTATGTATTTTGCGATCAATACGTTAGTTTATTTCATGGAAAAATTATAAACTTGAATTACGTAAAATAATGAACAACTACCATATATTCCTTTTGACTTTTGTGATACAAGGTTTAACGTTTATGTTTGCAAATATTTCACATTTTTCTTTATTATTTATTATGTATATATTATTATTTATCATATTATCGTTTTCTTTCTTATTCTTTAATCTTCACGCAGTCATTGACTAAAAATAAAAGGCTATTCTGACAAATTACAATACAATTTAGGAGCTATACGAAAAAATTAGAGACAAATGATTTGTGTTCGAGTAATTTTTTCAAGTTTTGAATAAAATTAAAAAATTTAACCTGGCATTTTTAATAATACAGAAAATTTATTGCGAAAAATATTACCATATTTTGAAATTTTTGTATGGTCAAGAAAACACTGACGTTGTTGATGACCGCTGGCGACATTGAAGAATTCTTATTAGTTCTTATTAGTAAAAAAATTTAAGATTTAATTATAAATTATAAAGCTACACAACATACAAAACTGAAAAAAAATGACAAATGGTCTTCCGCTTTGAAAATCGACTGTGAATAATTAGGCGAACGGTTTGTTATTAAATGACACGCGACAAAAGTTAAGAACTTTGAAAAAGCCTGCCGGATTGGCGGTCTAGAAAACTGATTGGACGTAACGAAGCCGGTTTACTTTTGTTGCTTACTTAACCATCAGGAGCGGCTGGACGTAGCGTCGGGCATGCGTGTCCATGATGGCTCCTCTCGCGCTGTGCCTGATAATGATGAGTATCAAAAGCGTGACGATACCAAGCATAACCGCCTCGCCGAGGAGGTACACGCGCACTAATTCACCTCCCAACTGACAATTCCACGTATCCTCGTAGTACCTTACGCAGGCGATCCCTATAAGAATCAACCTGTAAAACACATAGCCGATTACGAGAAACAACTTAGCAATGATCCGAGCGATTTCGATCGCGTGATGCGCACCTGCAAAAGAACTTCATATTGAAAATAGGTTCAGTGCTTCCAGTGAGTCTTGGGAATTGTTGAATTTTATTTTGTTAAAACTTTGGATTTGTCCCACTATAATTTCACAACAATTCGCGTATGACATCGCAGTACTCGTGATTAATATTGCGTACTGTAATTCCGACACATTGGTAACTGTACTGTTTGCTTATCGATACTCACCATACAATACGGATAAATAATTCGAATAGGCCGGGATACACAAGATCGTCGGTGGCGGCCAACCATTTTCGACCGAAGAGCTCTAACGCCGGCATTTCCCTGTAAGAAGGAACTTTGCTGTAAGCACTGTAAGTTAGGACCTTTACGATCTTTTTGGAACGATCGTTCTTTCAATCGAGTGAGTGAAAGGGTAGGGCTATTATTTATAAACGTTTCATCCAGGAAATCGAGGTATATCTCCATTCAGATCGTATCTGGACATCTCGCGATACCGAAATTGATCGCTTCGATTACGTTCGGGTGGGTCTCGTGGAGCACGTAACGCGGAAAGTTTACTCACAATCAGTGAAGCCCCTCGTGGGCGCAGATTTTGCGGGTATTGCAAAATAAAGCCGGACGCACCGGCTTTCTATGATTATAAATATTCCCGGGAATTCGGGCAATTATGGTATACGCGGGTACCTCCTCGATCACGAAACCGCCGTCCGGAGAAAGCGCCCGGGAGAAAGTCCCCGCGTGTCCATCCCACATCCGAGACCGTGTTGACACAGTCTTCCGACGTGTTTAAATGGACCGTTAACGACCCGTGATTTTTTAGTTGCATCGGGTGTAATTTAGCTGGTTGGTTAGGCGCTAATAATATGTAACTAATTATACCTGCGGCGACGCGCTATCGCCAATCGGCGCTGATCGGACAGCAATGGAGCGACGTACGCGTTACTTTTATTGAATACGTCCCATCCAATTATTGTTAACTGTTCGACAATTTTCTGCATGACATAAAGGCGGAAATCCCAGACGAGATTTAATTAACATTTATTTAGAAAATTTCGCGACGTGGTTCTTTAAACTTTCTTAGGAAAAGGAGAACGGCCCGAATTCATGAAAATAATCAAACTTTCTCGTAGTACATTTTCGTTCGTTAATTTATCTTTTTGCTTCGTCGCATTTCAAATTCCCCACACTGCGTCGCGATTCTTAGCTTCTTGCATCCTTCGTTTTCGAACGTTCTTGATTCTCTTGGAGGCTTTTAGGTTTGCGCGTGAATTAGCGCTCCCTAACGAGTTGCGTAAATGGCTTTCGAGCGTTTAATCGCGGGAAAGCACGCAGTTTACATCATAACGCGTTTTTGAATGCGGCAATTAGTTGTAGATATGATTATCTAACTGCTTTCTTTCATAAAAAGCATGAGAATGCGGAAATTACGGTATATCATAATGATATTAAAAGGAGGAGAGAAAATTGGCATTATCATCGCGGTAATTTCGTCAATAATGACGAAGGGCCTTGGATTACTTATTGACGTCGGGATACAAGTTGTTACTCGCAAGTCAAATTCTATCACAATTTCGACGTGAATACCGAATGATACCGTTTGAATAAATGTGCTACATTTCTTTCGCCTTTCCTAGGACTGAAACGAATAAGGGATTTCTCGCAGAAGATTGCGAATCTGCGACCGTAATCGCAGCCGGGCTGAAATTGTACCGACAGCAATTAAGGCTTTAAAACTCGTTCTACTGTTGTCTTGCATAATACACAGAAAGTATAAAAATCTATTTTTAAACGCACGTCATTCGGGCAAAGTAGAACCGTTGCCCGGTACAAAAATCTGCTATTCACGAAGAAATATTTTTGTGATTACGGACAGCTTTCGATTTAGCGAGGAATCGAGGGAAATGGAATTCGAAAAGTTTACGCACATTCTACGAGTGTGTGCATGTTTACTACTTGCAATGTTTGTAAATCGAATTACGCGAAATTAAGTGCATCGTATGCATTTCACGACTCGAAACGCGTACATGTCATTTGCGCCGTCGCGAGTGTGACGAAATAATACACAAGTCGTAAACTCGCGTTCCTCAGCACATATGTATGTGTATTTACCTCCGCTCTGAAACATTTCACCCGAAGGTTAATCGACATTTTATTATAAATACATGAGTAACCCATTCCGATTGAACTTGATATCGCGATGCTGGTGTTTTATGCGGTAAGAGCATAACTATCCAGATGCACATGACCGATGAATTATGGGCAAAAACTTTATGATGACATGCAACGATGTCACGAACACTGAATATTTCACATGTAAAGGGCACATGTGTCTTTGGCATAAATCAATAATTAATGAAAATAATCTATATTTGTATAATTTACATTTCTATAGCTAAGAAAATAGTGTATCATATTGATAATATAATTTATCTACGGTATAATTTTAAGGTAGAGAGAGAGAGATTTTGCTTTTATATAATTTTCAAAAGTAAGACTTGTCCGGCTTTCCGGCCATTAGAAAAATTTTAATATGACCTTGACAAAGGAAAACGAGTTGGAGATTCTTCATCTACGACAATAACGTGAGATACATCTTGTACATCTATAGTTTAAACATTGTATTCAGCGGTGTATCATCTCAAAGTTATATATAACGGTTTTAATCCGCGCTATCTTCTGATAATCGTAAAGATTCTAATTATGACAAAGATATCTTAAAGATCTTATTATTTCAGTATTACTGCTTTCTCCACGCGTGCGAACGGCGTTCTTCATTAATTAAGCCAACAAGACTCTTACAAAACGTTTAAGTAGCACGAACTACCGCTACAGCGAGTCGCGATACACATGTATAATTTACGCGATATTTTGTTTCACCGGCGGCTAGCTCGTCGATTTAAAAGGATGTTAGAAAAAATTGACAGTTAGAAAGGCAATTTGTTACGGACGATGGCAAGAGGTTTTGTGCCTTTCGAATTTTATCTGTCCCCCTTTTCATTTTTCTCTCCCGTAGACGTTATTGCGCGTGCAATCAGTAAATGTTTCGTAAAAGAGACCGGATCTCCTGTGACATTGAAACACATTTAACCGAAACTGGTTTCCGAATATTTTGCACGTGATTTGTTGAAACGACACTGAAAATAGAGAAAAGAAGACGCGAAGCTTCGTTGTATGTACTCACAGGTGCGCGAATCGATATCCGGCGAATCCGAGCGCGTGTTACACGCGCGTTGAAATCTCCCCTCGACCGAGACAACGTGGACGCGGGCACTCCACCTCGCTCCGCCGCGCACTCCGGCTGCTCGCTCCTGTCGCCTCGAGAATTCAGACGCAGTCCCCGTGCGGGATAGGAAACCCGATTGGAATTTTTTTATCTAATCGCCGTCAACCGAGCCTTTCTCCGGGCCTCGTGCACGTTGCAGACCACACGGACGAAACTGGAGCGCGCACGCCGCGCGAACGACGAAATTTCGCGCGCGCGCGGCCTTTTCGGAGAATCGCGTCGCGCGATTCTCGGACACCCGCGTCCGGGGTCTCTCTCCCCGCGTCCTTACGGCCGCTCCGCCGTTGTTTTGCAACGTAATCACTTTTAGTCCGACCGATCGTTCGCCGCACGCGCCAGTTTTAGCATCGCCGTCGAAGCTGCGCTTATCTCACGTACGGAGATACGCATATCGTTTATCGGCGATCGGCATCAGCCGGACCTTGGACGTTCGCATGAGCCACGACAATGAGAACGCGCACAATGAGTACGCGCACGAGAAGTGATCTCGACCTCAAGAACGGCACTTCACTGCGTTACGCCGGGGATGGCCGGTTCCGATGCAGAATCGCGTTGGACTTGAATTCGTCTCGCGCGTCGACCGCGCATCGCGGCGCGACTCGTTCACCTTCCCGTGCGACGCGCGACACTCCGCGCGAGCAACACGGAATCTACACGATCCTACTGACCGCAATTGGTCCGGTTCCTCGTCGCGGAGAGAAAGAGAGACCGGCGAGTCGGACTTTCCCTCCGCCGAGTTATCGCGCGACGTGTTCTGGCCACGCGCGGAGGAAAAATGCCTCGAAAAAGGAGAAGAGGAAGGAACGGAGCTGCTCTGAGAGGGATAAAGCCGAGTCGAGCCGAGAGTTCGAAGCTGATGGTGGGAGCGGCGAACCGGTGACGCACCTGGCGATCGTGCCTGACCGTTCCTCTCGAGGAGATAGGGAACGCGGTGAATGCCGATATCCGGTGTGGTGGATCTAGGAAGATTAGCCGCGAGGAGGGGAGGAAGACGTTTGCGCAATGCTCTTATTAGCCGCGAGATAAAATTACGTACGCTACACGCAAAGCGATGATTCTCGCTTGATAAGACTCGGTCGTTAAAATATCTTCTGGTAGCATGAAGCCAGTATTATATTTTTCTTAACATCGATTACATCCGCAAACCACTTATCTGTATCTTGTTGCATTTCACAATACACTTGGAAGCGCAAATTTTTGCCGTCTGAAAGAGGATGCTTTCTCGAATCGCAAGATACTCCACAAGACGGATCGATTCCCGTTAGGTTCTCCGCCGCTTGAGTAACTTTGCCTGGTATCGACGTATCTCAAATGGACTTTACATAAGATGGAAGCCAATCTTGTAACCGCATTACTACCACATTCGTGCTGAAAGTGCTGACCGCACGCATATGCGCGTATAATGATCACGCATACATTCGATATGCATCAGTTCCATGATCGTGCACATGTATTACAAATGGCCAGCAGGTTTCCGCACTTTACGAAGCGAGTTAAGCGCGTCGAATAAATCTCACAGCGACGATTCAGTGGATGCAGCGTTAGATAACGGTATTCTTAGCGTACACTGCGTGTACGAGAATATTAATAACGCCTCACAATTGAATGGAATAGGAAACCGACCAGTGACAGCATCGAAGAGGAGTATGAAGTTGTAAATAACCCAGGAGAAAAATCTCCTTCGCGAGAAATAGTAAAAAAAGGAGCATGACATGCGAAAATGTCCGCCACAAAGTTTTCACACTTTTGTAATTCAAGCGTTACGTAAGTAACTGCGAGCAAAAATAATTGCTTATGCTCGCAAAAAATTATCTCCTCATTATAATGTTTGAAGAAGCGGAGCTCGACGAATATTTTAACCTCCACAAGATGGCATTTTAATCTAGCGTACAAGCGAGCCAATTCTTTTAAGTTTGCTCTCAAAAAATCTTTATTCTTGTTGACTGTAAGAAATGAAGCATATTCTTAAAAAAAAAAAAATGCTGCGGCCAATAACTGTTCGCGTGTAATAGCCGCTCAATGTGCGTTTTCTCGTCGCCGCGATAAAATATTTGCGAGATGATTATTCGACAAGAGGATTTTGTACCGCGATCGTAGCGTTCGTCTTCGAAATCGCATGAATTTTAGCCTGAGAGACGTCCGTAAAAATAAATATGAAGTAAAATCCTAAAGAGCTAAGTGAAAGATCCAATGTATGCTTTAACAAATGGCGACGTGTCACAAAGCTAAACATTTGGAGAATAAATTATGGCGTGTTTGAACACGCCGTTTTGATTTCACGGACGATAAAAATCGTCTAGGGTCGGAAACGTGTTCGACAGAACAAAATACTCGCAAAAGAACTGTACTACATGCTTCTCGCTCCTTTTTCGAGAAACGAACGCATCCGTTCACCGAGGCTCGCACAGTTAAGCGCTTTTCTTGTGCATTTGCGCATCCGGTTTGGAATGCAATTTCTTTCTTTTTTTTTAGGACCGCGGCGACCGCCGCCGCGAGTTCGTAGAACTATAATCGATGTTATTCTCGTGCAGAAAATCGCATTATTATCCTTCCAAGATGACATGTTGATATTGTGCACAGCGTCACAGCAACGGCAATTAAGACAGCTCATCGAAAGTGAGAAGTGATTTGCGATGTGCAAGGGCGTCCGGAGGGGGGGGGGGGCAAGATGGGGCATCTGCCCCCCCCCCCCTAGAATTTGGAATCGGCAAAAAATTTGGCCTATTTGGCATACCTTGTCGCGGTGAGAAAGCTATTACCAAAAGGTGTACATATATGTATATACACCTTTATATATGTATATATATTTGACATCATATAAGTATTCTGGAAGTAATATTTTAACAATATAAATGATGCCCCCCCCCTGGAAAATATTCTGCGGACGCCCTTGGCGATGTGCAATTTATAAACCGCTTTTAAAACTTAATGTGTGGCGAAAAAAAAATTTATTTTGTTGTTTTAAAATGCAAATCAATA